GATTTGTCACATCCTCCTCCTGTTATCCAGACCTGGTGTGTTTTAGCTTTAGCAGAAAAAGAATCACTTACTGGTCACTAATTCAGAGAAGACACCACATTCTGCAAAAGACAATCCCAACTTTATAATGTGTGACCAGAATTATAAAGGAACATGGGAATATGATAGTAATAAACATGTAAGAAAAGAGGTCTGTGATTTATTCACATTTTTACATTGATATTGTTGCTAAGTCTGTTCATGCAGAATCATTAAAACAAGGGCAAGACCAAAAAGTGACATAATTGAGAAGAAAATAGCTTTAGCAAATATCTAGATAAGGGTATATATATATATAAAATATATATATTTATTTATTTATTTATATGAATAAGGGTCAAGTCTGGACCCTTTATATATATAAAGAGTAAAGGGTGTTCACTAGTGACATCTATGAAAAAGTCAAGACTACCACTAACTTTTGAAGAACTGCATGGAGATTGAGGACCCAAAACATCAGGACTATTTGTATGAACTGAAAGTCACTTAGCTAATAGTAACTATATGGTGCATAAGTCTTTTTCTTACAGTTGAAGTTTATTGCTGCCTTGTAATACTAAATTGAACACGAAACCTGTCAAACTTAGAAGCAGGATTTCTTTGTTAACAAAAGAGAATATTTTAAAGATTCTTAGAAATATAGAGCCATTTAACCTTGTCACTAATAGTTTTTCAAGAGACTTTGCATCACCACCCTCTTGCCACCCAAATTATAAAAACCTTCTAATTTAAAAGGTAAAAAAAAAAATCTTTTTAATTTGCATTTTTTGTTTACTGGTAAGATGAATATTTTTCCATATGCCCATTGAATGTTAGTATTTTCTGTGAATAGTTCATCTCTTGCTAATTTATTACTGTGCTCTTAGTGTTTCTAATAGTTTTATGTAAGCTGGTTATATATTACATATTGCCTTCTGTGTTGGTTATTTTTGAAATTCACATACATATTTTTAAGATTCACTAGATGTATACATATTTTTAAAACTCATGCAAATAAATACTTTGACTTTAAAAAATGAAGATGAAAGCATCTGTACATTTTTGTGCAGATGACCAACAACCAACCACTTCCCAAGTATGGAAGATTGGACACCCCCAGCAGGGCCAGAAACATTTTGAGAAGCAAATATTGTACTGCACAAATGCTCTGCAGCTTTAAATTTAGAAGACACAACATGGCCTAGAAGATATCAAGGACAGGAATGAAATTGTTCAAGTCTGGATCCAGCATGTGCTTGTTATATGTGCTTGGTTCTCTAAGGGTTTACTGAATGAGTGACTGAGTGAATGGTTTGTTCTTCATGTAGGGCATAGAATTAAAAGCCAATCTTGTAGTTTTTCCTTTGTAAATTAGCACTGAGCTTTGAGACTATCCATCAGTCTGTAATTTGGAAAAAATGGAACCTTGTAATTGGACAATACATACTAGTTCACCTTGAACACTGGAGGGATTAATGAGCAAAAACAATTTAGGAAAAAGACTACCATTAGGGGTGGGCATTTTGTAAGATAGATTATATCTGGAGTTCGTCTTATGCATAAAACTTTTATAAATTATAAAAACCAAAGGTGAAATTTATAACACTAGATAGATGTGAAAAATCACTCATCTAATCAACTATTAATGATGTGCTCAAATCTGTTTATTATTGGCCTTTTATAGAAAAAAATTATTTATTTTTAGACAGAGGGGAAGGGAGGGAGAGAAACATCAATGTGTGGTTGACTCTCACATACCCATTCACTGGGGACCTGGCCTGCAACACAGGCATGTGCTCCGTCTGGGAATCAAATCGTTAACTCTTTGGTTCGCAGGCCAGAGCTCAATTCACTGAACCACACCAGCCAGGGCTATTATTGGTCTTTTTTAACAATAATGCCCAGGGCTTTATAGCACGGTTACCCAAATCAAAATTATTTATTTATAAAATTCTTTTAAATTCTGCTTATAATGTTTCCTGCCAGTTTAATGCAGATTTATTTACTTCTTTATGTGTTCCTGTGTGAGTGCATGCTTCTTGGAAGTCTTTTCCAAAATAAGAACAAGAGTTTTCATTTGGCCTTCTCATCATCTAGACTCAGATGGGCCACAGGGCAGGGCTCAGTCTATGAGGTATGGACACACATTTCCCAGGCAGGGAAGGGAGAGGGGTAATATATTTTCCTTGATCATAAGATGTCATTCATAGTACCAAAGAGGCCTTGGCTCTAAGACTCCTTAACTCCCAAATCCTGCTATTCTTGTGGATGGAAAAAGGAGATGTTACACATAAAATAACCTAAAATATTTGCTTCAGATGGGAATTTAATTTCTCCTAGATATATTCCATTAGCTGTCATTTCACAATTTAACAATCGAATGGTAAGTTTTTCTGTTGGATTTAGATGGCCATCTAAACTGGACCACAGAAAAACACTGCCTTAATGCAAACATTTCTTGGATGGGGCTCTGCATTCTTGTCTCCAGGAGTAAATTTCAACCAATATTAAATGCATTGGTTATAGAATTTCCTTATGCTCTTAAACTGGCACTCCTTGGTCCATTGAGACATGCCAGTCCTATGTTCTGAGGAAGCTGAGTTTGGCCCAAGTTTGGACCAAGTTTGGCCAAAGGTGTAGGGAAGAATGTAGGTTTTAGATTCACAGTCCTGGCTTCTGATAGCATTTCTGCCACTTCCAAGCTCTGTGACCTCAGGCAAACTTTTTAACCTATCCTGTTTTCTTATTTGTAAAATGAGAGCAATAGCATGGGATTGTGAGGTGACTATGTGGACACAGGTGAAGAGTTGTTGTAAATGTTCTACCCTCCCTCTGCCCCCCCCACATACATAATGGTAAATGTGATGTAATAAATGTGTTAACTTACCTTATTGTGTTAATCATTTTGCAATATAACATGTCAAATCATCACACAGTATCCTTTAAACTTAACACAATGTTGTATGACAAATATATCTCAATAAAGCTGGGGGGGGGAAGGGACTAAAATATTTGGCCTAGAAGTGATAGACAATAAGTGTTATTATCCACAAGGTTCAGTACAGCCTACCTTGTGGTAAGACTACTTGGCGGTTTAACAGTCCTTATGAAGGTGATGAGGCTCCTCTTTACCAGGGATTCACCTCATGTAATGCCTACTAAACAAGCACTGATTACCTATCAGATATTCCTTATGATCCAGGCAATGGCATGACCTCTAGGAGTGACAGATATTATCAATTATAACATAAAAATGTAAGTGCCACACAAGTCATCAAAAATCAATGAAAGGATGATAAAGTCTACCTAATAGATTTGAGGCAGACCTACTGCTTTCATCACTGCCTCCCCTCGCTCCCGCCCCCACAAAAAAAAAAATCATAGGGAAACTCAAAACTCCAGGGCCATTTTCCAGAATTGGGCTGAGGAAATGTCCGTTAGGACTCAGCTTACACTAAGTAAAACTACCCAGCCCAGGCCCCTCCCCCATCATGCATGAGCTGTTCTGAGACTAGCCTCTAACAGGTGACTGGCCATGGCAGAGACCACAGATTTTCATTTGTATTTCTTAAAGAGTATGTTTTTTAAAGTAAGGTAAAATAAAATAAATTCTGCTAAGTCATATTTGTGTCTAAACCTTGTTTGCTTTCTAGTGAAAGCATGAAAAGCAGTTCCTAAAACTTAGGGCTAAACATTTTCACTTTTGTCTCTACTTATTTAAAAATTAGACACTCAGTTCAAACATTAGTTATGGATGAGGAAGATGACTGGAAAAGTAACCCAGATAAGGGCCTGCAGATAGTGGATAGCAGAGGCAGGATTTATGTTTAACTTCTCTAACTTCTATGTGTGATCTCTAAATACAGTTATGCTTTGGAGCATAGTAACAGAAACAAAAGCTCAGTCAGGCCAGTATGTTAACCACGGAAGTAGGAGGCAGCTGGTGTGTAAATCTTAGGACCATCCCTTCCCTAACATTTACTGTATAGATATGGAATAAGAACAGATAATTTACTTATAACATTTATATACAGGAAATCAGAGCTACCCTTGATGAAGGTTTTAAAAATTCTAATAAAATTTTCTTAAGTAGAAGAGAGTTTTAAAGGGAAAATGATTTTGTAGAAATCCCACCCATCCTTTAACACAGTTATATAGGAAAGGTACATATGATTAGGCTAAGAGCTTTCTTTAGAGTGTTAAGAGTATGCTTACTAAAGTCATCCCCTTTTAAAGAATGAACTTGCTAGTTTGCTCTAAATATAGTGATAGGTCAATGATTCAACTTTGTTTTACTTAATTGTAACAAGAATTTAAAACACCTTCATGACGCTAGCTATTGCTGATAAATATTTAAATACAAAACATTTCAAACTTAGCACAAATAATATAGCTAATGCACTAGATTTGGATAAAGTCATATGAATGAAGTTATTCCTTTTGAGTGTCTGAAAGTGATGGGATGAGACCCTGGATCTTGGGTGGGAGTAGGGGTGGATGAAGTGAGAACGCTCTGGGTTTGTTACTTCTGGGCTTTTAGCTCAGGGCAGACTGAGGGTGTGGTAGAGCAGCATGGTCGGGGGGAGTAATACAGTCTATTCTGGTTTCTCTATAAATACCCCAAAGCGAACTTTTCGGATGTGCTCCTTTCTAGCTTTTAGAAAGGGCTTTTCTTGGCTGCCAGGAAGCAGGGAGCAGGGCTGCAGCAGAGTGATTATCTGAGAGCAGCCAGGCATAAGCTCAGCCACTGTGGAAAACCCGGGCAGGGGTGGGGGGCACAGAGAGATTCTTCTTCCTTTTGTGGACTGAGGAAGAGGACTGGTGTTTGGTGGCATTTTCCTTAATAAAATACAAAAGGGAGAATACAGGTTTGAAGGTTTATAATTCTATGTTAAAAGTCATGTCGATATTAATAAAAACAGAAGGGCATTGTAAACACACTTTTATTGAAAATTAAAACTTTTGAAACAACTATACTGAGTGGTTATCATAGATCTTTAACTAAATAAGACATAACAAAATAATTGTGTACACTTTAACTTTTGAGAGTTCTTTTTAAAGCACCACTTAAAACTTACATATTAAAAAAAATTATTAAATATAGAAAAACTCTCCTATCTCACGAGTGAGTTTGGGAATGCACAATGGACAACAGAGCCAGTCTTTAACCTCTGCTTATTGACAGGGAACGCTCAATTCAAAGCCATTTGAAGAGCTTCCTACATTGCTCACTTAAAGGAAAACAAATGTAGAGTTATCAAAGAGTTTCTTGGTAAATTTCTAGCCCTTGGAAGGCTACAACTTTCCTTAAATATGATTTCTAAATTTTAAATTTGTCACCCCAAAAGGTAAAGTGTAGGATTTACAAATATTTCACTTTTTGAAGAAATTTTGCGAAGTAACCACAATTGCAGCACATCCAAAAAGCTGAAACTAGTTTAACAATCTCAGAAAGCCTTTGTGTTCTAGATTTATTTTGAAACCAATTTCTAAACGAGATAGCATAGAAACAATATATATGTATACTACACTGCTGAAGTAGCTTAAACTTGCCAAGACATCTTCAGAGCAAGTCCCTTTGTACTGATTTCCTGCTTGTCACAACACAAAGGACCTACTATAAAAATTGCTCTTAGGTGTTTGCTCTGCCAGCTCAGGGCCTGTCCTCAATAACCTTCTCTGCATAGCCCAGTCTCCCACATGTAACAGCAGTTGTGGCTGGTCATTCTCCGTCCCTGCCTCATCGCCTGTTTGACCGCTTTTCATATTTGTCCTGGCTGCTCCGCTTCCTCGGTGGAGAGTGACTGACGGTGCCTCGAGCTTGGAAGCTGCGCTTGTACGGGTGGACTCTGTGCTTCTTCCGGCTTTCTTCTTTTTGGCTCTGGCTCTTCGCAGGTTCCTTATCACCCTCCTTCTGTTCATGGTCTTGCTCTTTATGGGACGGGAGTGTGTTCTTAATTGTGTTAATGAGAAATCTTTTATTGGTGCCAGCAAGGGGACACTTCATCCTGGGGATGAAGGGGAAAGAAAACAATCACAAATCAAATAGCTGAATCCAAAGCCGAGTCCATGAGCATGGCTGCTGCCCAAGAATTCTGCATGCATAGCTCCAAGTTTCTGACACTGTTCTGCTTTCCTTGCATGCCACCTAGTGTAAACTCTGAGTACAGGGGGGGAAAGCAAGACATTTGGAATTCCTGAGGCTGGCTGGCTGGACCTCATCTGGACACTTTTACTCTTTCTTCCTTATTGGGACTAACTTTTCTACTGCTATGTATGTACAGATATTGACTGCAATGCCAATTAACTGAATTATTTAATATTTTCTTCTTAAACAATAAATACCTGATTTGACTACAATCTGTGTTTTGAATGAAATATATTGTGGCTTGCTTTTAATTACCAAAGAGTAAAAATAAGTCCATCTCCAAGGAACGAAAACATACACCCTGCTATATCTTCAATACTGGAGCTAAATGACTTAATCTAGAAATAAAAATTGTCTAAGGATCCATAAAAATAGCCAATATCACCCCAATAAATTCAATAAAAAGATAATCTATAAAAAGACAATAATCACCTTTTACCTTTTAAAAACCTCGTCCACTTTCTATCTCAGGACTGCGGTCTGTGCTCTACTGGGGAGCACTGTATACAGACCTAACCCCTGGGTGCATTTCTGTGCAGTGTATGTTTGTGTAGCTTCATGATTCAAGAGTAACCAAGAGGGAGGATATTAACTAATTAAACTGTTAATTAACATGCTAAGTTATATATCACAATATTTATTTTTCAGGTGTAGCAAATCTATCATTTTGGAAAAGAAAACCCCACACAAATGAAAACCTACATATTCCTTTTGGCCTTGAGCCATCTGCTGTCTGATAAGCTAATTTTAGGTGGACACTGATGCCCAATACCAGGGGGACTGGTATTAAAATGAATGTGTACTATTCTATAATCTCCATCTCTACATCAAACTTTTATTCAAAGAAAATCCCACACAATACTTCCAAATCACCCCACCAGCACCCCACTGCAGTGTTTTTATAGGCTATTACTGTGTAAGTGAAATATAAGCAGTCAACAGCCTCGTGTCACCGATAGGGAGGTCAGACCACCTCAGGCAAGCAGAATGGCACTGAATCTGGAAGTAAAAGGAGGGGGAAAAAAGGTTTCCTGCTGCAAATAAGCAGCTCTTGAGCCTGCATGGACAGGGAAAACATTTGAGAAGAATCGTGGGTGATGCATACACCCAGTGTGCTAGGTGTGGTTCCTGCCCAGGCCAGGAAAAGTGTCTGGAGAATGAACTAGATCAGAAAGAGCTAGAAGAAAATGTAGAGAGAAGAGGACAATGGATTGCAGTAGAGGGAGTGGGAACAGTTAGAGGTAGTGGTGGCACTGGAGTTTTTTGTTTGTTTTTTGTTGAGGGGGTGTTGTTTTCTTTTAGCAATGAAGTATAAGAACCACGGTGAATGAGATGAGGAGCAAAGAGGAAAGGTGATAAAGAAGAACAAATAAAGACAGGTTTGCAAGTACTGGGGGGAAAACGATTAGCTCCCTATAGCCCTGTAGGGCATCAGCAAGCTTCCAGGAGAAACACAGCAGCATCACGCTGCCTCAGTCACAGCAAGGCAAAGGCACCTGAAGGCACCCCAGCACTGGGCGCTCTGTGCAGTAAGAGCGTGTGACGAAAGGGCAGGCCAACATCTTCAGTGGCTGAACAGGGCATCACTGAGTCCTGGTACTGCCTTGGTGAACAAACTTGAACCAATGCAGTTGCTAACTCAGCAAATATTAAGAGTACGACACATAGGTGTGATGAAGCAGCACAACACTGCTAGCCTGCAGGAAACACTATCCTTTAATGCAAAATATAAAATACTACTACCCCTCTTTGCCAACTGTGGCCCATTTTTATGAATAAATGGGCCACATACATCTCTTGGATATAGGAGGCTATATCCAAGGAGGTGAATAATATCCAGGTACAGAAGAATTCTGGGGTATTTTCATTGTAGTGGGCCATATCAGTGCTGGTAAAACTAGTCACTCCTTCTCTGGATTAAAGAAATGTGGGAAAATGATTATTGCCAAATGGGACAATAATCTTAAAATAGACCTCCGGCTGATGTGGCTCGGTGGATTGTGCACCAGACTGCAAAGCAAGGGGTTACCAGTTTGATTCCTAGCCTGGGCTGTTGGCCAGGTACCCAGTGGGGGGCATGCGAAAGGCAACCACACATTGATGTTTTTCTCCCTCTCTTCCCTTCTCTCTAAAAATAAATAAAAATTTTAAAACAAAAAACCAAAACAAAGCCTTTGTAACTCCCAGTGAGTTCCACTATATTTTTCTGTCTCCCATGTGAGATTATCTTTAATACCCCTTTCTTGGCTGAAATGACCAAAACTCTTATTCTGTTAGAGAGTGGCGGAGTTCATGGAGTGAGGACTGTCACAAGACATGCTTCCTAGTCTCAACAAGTGACCAAAAGAGCTACTCAGAGAATGAGATAGTTTTCTAGAATATCCATAAGAAAACTGGTATTTACAGCTCTTTTTAACATCAAAGATGGCATTTTTAATGTTGGTTATGCTTAGCATTCTACTCCAGGTGAAATGCCATGGGTGGCTTAGAAATAACTGATTTACTTGAGGGAAACAGGAGGAAGGCTTCAAAAGTGACTTCTCCCAATCATGCCAGGACACATTTTAGAGATGATGACAAGTGCTCATTCAAACTCTATTAACAAATAAGGCAGGGCATTGAGATAAAGGAGTAGTTGCAAGCAGATGTGAAGGTACATGTAGTAAATGATTCCATAGTATGATAAAATCTGCACTAAATATATTAAAATATAGGAAGAGTTATATCAATGCTGATGTTTGAGGAAATCCATTGACAAAGGGTTGTTCTGGCCTTAATGTGGGAATGAATTTTGCTGAATCTCACAGCCAGCTGTTTTATTGCTATGAATTCATACGACATGGTATACCAGCTGAGCACACGTGTTCTGGAATCATACCATCTATAAGACTGAATGTGAGATACAGTATATAATCTATCTACTGCCTCTTATCAGTTAAATAGGAATAATAATAGTGACTATCTTAAAGGGGTGCATACAGATCAAATGAGAACATGTCAAGTGTTTAGAATAATACCTGATTAATAACTAGCACTTAGTGTTAACTTTGGTGCATATCCTGTCTCTACTACTTAATTACTTGTCTGACAATGGGCAAGTTACATAACTCCTCTGTAAATCAGTTTTCCCCATTTGTAAATGGGAGTCAGAAATATTTACCTTGTAAAGCTATTGCGAGGATTTAATGAGATAATGCAAAAAGCATTTGGTACAGTGCCCCGCATACAGTGAATCTTCAATACGTGTTACCTATGGGTCTATAATTTCTTATCCACAATTCCAAAATTTAAAAACCTCTGAAAATCAAGTTCTTTTTATACCACAACTCATTTGGCAGCAAAATCTAATCTAGGCTCACACTTGTGTATTTATGTCTAGTCTTTGTCCCATTCAGGGTAGACACTCATATATTTTGCTGAAGAAATGATATCATTTTGAGGAAGAACCATTGGGGGTACTTGTGGTGCACACTGTATGTACTACAATTCTTTTCTAAAGTGTGAAATCTATACCTAAATTTAGAAGGTAATCTGGATCCAAGGGTTTAGATAAGGTATTATAGACTTATGTTATTATTATTCACTTTCAATTCATGAAAAAGAGTATATAGCATTCAAATAATTTAATATACCAGGGATTTTTCCATGATGGCAACTCAAGAGAACATCCCAGTTTCAAATCATCTGGGATAATAAGCTAATCAAGAACAGAATAGAATATCTGATGTTTCTCAATGATATATACAAATACACACACACACACACCTATCAAGAAAAAGTTAATGAGACATTCTGCAGAAATTTTCATAAAAATAGTTTTAAGAGTTTTAGTACTTAGAAAGATTAGACTTCTATATCTAAAAAGTTTCACTTTCCAGGCTATCTCAGTTCTCCACAGATATCAGGGTCAATGGGAACTGGGTGTTACCTCTGAGCTTATAACTTACTTTTCCTAATGTTTTTGAAACTTGGTTCACAGATGGCCCTCAGATATAAAACTAAAGGTTGAAGTAGGTAGGTAGTCTCCATGGTCCCTTGCAGATTTAAAGTTCTCTTTATGTTCACCCTTCAGAAAATTACTTTGTTCTCATCTATCATGTCAGGTTATTACTTCATTGATCTCTCTGTCTTCTTGTTCCTCTTAGTGCCATTTTTTTTCCTGTACTTGAGATGACATGACAAGCCAGCATTAGATGAATATCTAATTTGACTGCTGTAACACCTTCTTCATCCAGTACTGAGGTAAAACCCTGAGCCCCGCATTAAGGGCTCAGGTCATGGCTGCTCCATATGCCTGTTCTATGTCACTGTCTATGCCCAAAGGGGTACCGGGGTGGGGGACCAAAGGAGGCCACAGGACAGGGCAGCTGCTTTCCTGTCTGTAGTTCTGACTCAATGTTGACTCTCTCACTCTGGCTAGTTATCTTTATTTTTGGTTTTATAAAGCTATACTAGCTCATGTGGGAAGAGCCAGATTTAAGGTGCTAACAACATAAATTGATATAAAACTCTAAATATAATGAGACTGGTTAAAACTACTCTGGAAAGTAGCTCTGACAACACTGGCAGACTGAAGACTCAGCATTCTATCTACGTGAAACTTGAAAAGTGAAGCCATTCCCTTCACTTTCAAAGCTGTCAGCCCAGAAGCTGTGCTGAAGGTTTCTGTACACCACGGGACGGGCGGACTTCCAGAGAATCTGCTATTAAAGACTAAGCCTTTCTTCTTCTTCTTTTTTTTTGAATAGGCACACTATAGAACAGAATTGCAAAAATAAGGCACTTCTTCCTTCGGTTATCATACTCGACTTAGGAAAAACAGTAAACTGTAAAACAAACCTAGAGAACAAGAAGGGGAAG